TTACTCTTTTAACTGCTTATTTATTTAGTTACTTATTTAACTGCTTATTTATTTAGTTACTTATTTAACTGCTTATTTATTTATTTACTTACTTAACTGCTCATTTATTTATTTACTTATTTATGTGCTGATTTATTTATTTACTTTAGTTAACCGCTGATTTATTTATATACTTAGTTAACTGCTTATTTATTTACTTACTTAGTTAACTGCTTAGTTGTTTATTCACTTATTTGGCTGCTTATTTAATTTTTTACTTAGTTAACTGCTAATCTATTTATTTACTCAGTTAACTGCTTATTTATTTATTTACTCAGTTAACTGCTTATTTATTTATTTACTTAGTTAACGGCTTGTTTATTTATTTACTTAGATAACTGCTTCTTTATTTATTTACTTAGTTACCTGCTTATCTATTTATTTACTCAGTTAACTGCTTATTTATTTATTTACTTCGTTAACTGCTTGTTTATTTATTTACTTAGATAACTGCTTATTTATTGGTTTACTTACTTAACTGCTCATTTATTTATTTACTTAGTTTACTCCTCATTTATTTATTTAATTTGTTAGCTCCTCATTTGTTTATTTACTTAGTTAACTGCTGATTTATTTATTTACTTAGTTAACTGCTCATTAATTTATTTGCTTAGTTATCTGCTCATTTATTTATTTACTTATTTAGCTGCTTACTTATTTATTTGCTCAGTTAACTTCTTATTTATTTATTTACTTAGTTGGCTGCTTATTTATTTATTTACTGAGTTAGCTGCTTCTTTATTTATTTACTTAGTTAACGGCTTGTTTATTTATTTTCTTAGATAACTGTTTATTTATTTGTTTGCATACTTAACTGCTCATTTATTTATTTACTTAGTTATCTGCTCATTTATTTATTTACTCTGTTAGCTGCTTATTTATTTATTTACTTAGTTAGCTGCTTATTTATTTATTCACTTAGTTAACTGCTCATTTATTTATTTGCTTAGTTATCTGCTCATTTATTTATTTAATTATTTAGTTGCTCATTTATTTATTTACTTAGTTAACTGCTTATTTATTTATTTACTTAGTTAACTGCTTATTTATTTATTTTCTTAGTTAACTGCTTACTTATTTATTTACTTATTTGTCTGCTTATTTAATTAATCACTTACTTGTCTGCTCATTTATTTATTTACTCCGTTAACTGCTTATTTATTTATTTACTTAGTTAAGTGCTTTTTTATTTATTTACCTAGTCACCTGCTTATCTATTTATTTACTCAGTTATCTGCTTCTTTATTTATTTACGTAGTTAACTGCTTATTTATTTATTTACTTAGTCAACTGCTTATTTATTTATTAACTTATTGGCTGCATATTTAATTGATCACTTAGTTGACTGCTTATTTATTTATTTTCTTACTTAACTGCTCATTTATATATTTACTCAGTTTACTGCTTATTTATTTATTTACATAGTTAACTGCTTATTTATATATTTACCTAGTTAACTGCTTATTTATTTATTTAGTTAGTTAACTGCTTATTTATTTATTTACTCAGTTATCTGCTTATTTATTTATTTACATAGTTAACTGCTTCTTTATTTATTTACTTA